CGTAGTACCTGTTGGACTGCATCAAACCGGGAGAAGCTAGTTAAGCTAGCTAACATTAGCTAGCTAGGCTAACTGAGGCTTCTGTGCATGCGCTTTGTCATCCTACAGTTACAAATAACAACAACTCCATTCAGAATATTAAGTAGCAACCTGCCTACCTGTTGGCTCTTGGTCGTTGTAGCCTATCCTTCTCCTTTAACATTTAATTCTGTCAGTTGCATTCGGGTCTGTACGGGCCCTTTCAGACAAGTCAGTTAAAATTTCACATACCCAAGACAATCATATCAGATCCAACCCAGACCCGTGACACATATTTAGAATTCTGGATCTGGACACGCTCAGGTCCCGGATCGGGTCTCGGGTACAGGTGGATCCATGAAGACCTCTAGTGAGAACCATGAGCCTCCTAGGTTTTATATTGAAGTCAATGTACCCAGAGGAGGACGGAAACTAGCCGTCCTCCGGCTACACCATGGTGCTACCCCAGAGAGTGCTGTTGAGGCTACTGTAGACCTTCATTGCAAAACAGTGTGTTGTAATCAATTATTTGGTGACGTGAATATATTTAGTATAGTTTTATCTAACAAATATTTGTTTTATTATGTTTCAGTTTCTATTTTTTTTAAATTCACTTAGGATGGTCCTCCCCATTCCTCCTCTGAGGAGCCTCCACTGTATGAAAGGTCAAATCTGATGTAAATTTGACAAAACATGGATCCCTTCTAGCCATGAACATGGGGTAGGGACGTCCCAAGGATTCGTGATAGTGTAACACCTGTCCAGCGAAGACAAGAAGACTGGTCTCGGTACCAGTGTAACAGCTGTGATCTTACTTCGTAACTCTCTTGCCTTGTGTTTTTAAAGAAAGGACTGTCCAGCCAGCGAGCCCAGTTGTTGGTGTTTATTCTGACGATAGACACAAGGAAGCACATGAGATGTGCAGGACAACAGTATGTTGATGGCTGTAGATTTGTGATTCGTCACTTGCCGGCAACTGGGCTTTATTTGCATATTTCCGTTAGGGAACGCCTACTCTGTTTGTTACAGATTCTAGTTTTGGAAACAGAAAACTGTATGGAGATCAAATGTTTCATCGATGAGAAAATTTTAAAAATGTCGGCCAAAAACCATCTCGCTCCATCTTCTCCCACTTCCTCTCACCACCGTCTTTGGTAGTGAGTGGAAACGCCAACTGGATGCTTCACACGTATACATCCGGTGAAATATCTGTCTCATCTCTGTCTCTCATCTGCTTGCCCCCATCATCCTCGCCATCACCATTCTCTACCTGCTGGGGTTCTCCTTTCATCTTTCCCTCCATCTTGACTAGTCTCCCAGTCCCTGCCGCTGAAAAACATCCCCACAGCATGATGCTGCACCGTAGGGATGGTGCCAGGTTTCCTCCAGACGTGACGCTTGGCATTCAGGCCAAAGAGTTCAATCTTGGTTTCATCAGACCAGATAATCTTGTTTCTCATGGTCTGAGAGTCCTTTAGGTGCCTTTTGGCAAACTCCAAGCGGGCTGTCATGTGCCTTTTACTGAGGAGTGGCCACTCTACCATAAAGGCCTGATTGGTGGAGTGCTGCAGAGATGGTTGTCCTTCTGGAAGGTTCTCCCATCTCCACAGAGGAACTCTGGAGCTCTGTCAGATTGACCATTGGGTTCTTGGTCCCCTCCCTGACCAAGGCCCTTCTCCCCTGATTGCTCAGTTTGTGTTCTTGAGGTCCTTCAATCAAAATAGTACATTGCCAAAGCAAACAAAACTCCCACTTTTTCACCACTCGATTCATCCGACGTGTTATAATCACTCCAGGAATATTTCTCATCTCTTCCAAATCAACTTCCCACGAACGCCAGATGTAACCCCCTTGAGGGGTGCCCTGTTCCGAAGAGACACACACACACACACAACACTTAAAACTTAGCAAATCGATTAAGACACACACGTTCCTTCTGATCCGCAGAATCACAAAAAATCTAAACAAGCCAGCCTCTAGTGATCCTCACAGCCTTCACTTTACCCATCACTCTATCCACCAGTTTAGATAACTCAAATGGTTTCTTCAAGATTGGTACTCTGCTCAGCTGCTCCTTTTTAACAAACCGTCCTCCTACTTGATACGAAGGGTCATTTATCACTGTACCCTACTTTGCTCCGTTTTCCATTATTTTGAACAATACTCCTTGATTCTACCACCATTGTATTCAGATTCTACTTCATCTTCCTTCCCCAACGTTCGCTTCCTCTCCCTCTAGCAATCTGGTCAGTGAGCCGAAACTGTACGTCATGTGAGATAAATCAGCTGACATTGCACCGCGTATCATACAGCGCCCTCTGTCAGTCATCCATGGTTTATACACATCATTGGATAGCACGGACTTTCCGTCTAACCGTGCCCGTGTGTGCAAGCTATTGCGCGTGAGCATCACAACGTGTTTTGAGGAAAAAGGTCACGAACTCTGACCCTCCCTGAAGCTGCAGCAGACAGAAAAATAACATTAATTTATTAAACAGCTTCATTAAATAGTACCTGCAAAACACCAGTCTCAACGTCAACAGTGAAGAGGCGACTCCGGGATGCTGACCTTCTAGGCAGAGTTGCAAAGAAAAAGCCATATCTCAGACTGCCCATCTTAATCTTTTATTTTTATTGGCCAGTCTGAGATATGGCTTCTTGTTTCTCAAACTAGACACTAATGTATGGAACACAGGACTGATGGTTGCTGATAATGGGCCTCTGTACGCCTATGTAGATATTCCATACAAAAATCAGCCGTTTCCAGCTACAATAGCCATTTACAACATTAACAATGTCTACACTGTATTTCTGATCAATTTGATGTTATTTTAATGGACAAAAAAAATTGCTTTTCTTTTGAAAACAAGGACATTTCTAAGTGACCCCAAACTTAAGAACGGCAGTGTATATACACACACATACATATATACACATACACACACATATATATATATCACACACACACATCAGGATATGTACATAGTGAACTCGTACACATATACAGTATTTCAGAACATGACCTACCACTTACATGCCAATATCAGACTGGTTAGAATTGACATTTGTGATCTCACCCATCTGCAAGCATGACCAATGGCATAACAACGTATTGATATTGTAAGTTCAAATGTATTTAAGTATTTGTTGTTGTTGTAGTGGGGACAGTAACATTAGTATTCTAAAAAAAATACTTAAAGGAAAATGTTGTTTTTTCATTTTCGTTTAGCTCACATAATACAATTTAGAAGTAGACATCAATAAATGCCTTTCTATAGCTTCCAAAATCTTTTACAATTGAGTACCACCAAGATGGCTTCAATACAGCGCCCCCTTCTTCTTCTGTGGGTTTTATGGCAGACTACATCCAAAAGTTGTATTGCCGCCACCAACTGGACGGTTTGAAACCAAAAAATAAATAAAATCCATACTTTAGTGATACTAACAATCCACCCTAATAAAAATAGCACATTGCCAAAGCAAACAAAACTCCCACTTCTTCCTTCTTTTAGTTCTCCACGTCTCCCTTCTCAGGCTTTTGCTAATATTCCATGTAATGCCTTTGCTGTGAAATCTTTCAGCTCCAGGAACCGCTCCGCCGCAATCACAATGATTTATATCTTCCTAGATCTTTTCTCCACCTTGGCAGTGCCATTTATCACCATTGCGATAAAGTCCACCATTTTAACCTTTAAAAAATGTCAGGACCCTCTTGTTGTAAGACAACCCCTGCCGCCTGCAGTGAAGGCCTATCCACTACCATGGACTCTTCTGGTGTAACATTCAAACCCTGACCACCTCATTCCCTTTACCCTTGTGGGGCATTCAGAAGACGTGGCTTCATGATTCCCACCACAATTACATGTCACATTTTCTTCACTTTTATAACACATTATCTTTTCCACATCTTGTACATTTACATTTACATTTTAGTCATTTAGCAGACGCTCTTATCCAGAGCGACTTACAGTTAGTGAATATATTTTTTTTTATACTGGCCCCCCGTGGGAATCGAACCCACAACCCTGGCGTTGCAAACGCCATGCTCTATCAACTGAGCTACATCCCTGCCGGCCATTCCCTCCCCTACCCTGGACGACGCTGGGCCAATTGTGCGCCGCCCATGAGTCTCCCGGTCACGGCCGGCTGCGACAGAGCCTGGATTCGAACCAGGATCTCTAGTGGCACAGTTAGCACTGCGATGCAGTGCCTTAGACCACTGCGCCACTCAGGAGTACTAGATCTCGGCTTCTCCCTTCTGCAAACACTTTCTACATGACCAAAAGCTTTACAATGTCCACACTGCATTGGTCTTGGGATAAATGCTCTAACTCTGTAGTTAATATACCCTAACCGCACTTCATTAGGGAGAGACTCCATTTCAAAAAACAAAAGAACAGATAAACTCTTCACTTTTTCCCCCATTCACCACTCGATTCATCCGACGTGTTTCAATCACTCCAGGAATATTTTTAATCTCTTCCAAATCAACTTCCCACGAACGCCAGATGTAACCCCCTTGAGGGGTGCCCTGTTTCCGAAGAGACACACACATAACACTTCAAACTTATCAAATCGATTAAGACACACACGTTCCTTCTGATCCGCAGAATCACAACAAATCTAAACAAGCCAGACTCTGGTGATCCTCACAGCCTTCACTTTACCCATCACTCTATCCACCAGTTTAGATAACTCAAATGGTTTCTTCAAGATTGGTACTCTGCTCAGCTGCTCCTTTTTAACAAACCGTCCTCCTACTAGATATAAAGGGTCATTCTCATCACTGTACCCTACTTTGCTCCGTTTTCCATTATTTTGAACAATACTCCAATTCTCCTTGATTCTACCGCCATTGTATTCAGATTCCACCTCATCTTCCTTCCCCAACATTCGCTTCCTCTCCCTTTAGCAATCTGGTCAGTGAGCCGAAACTGTACGTCATGTGAGATAAATCAGCTGACATTGCAACCGCGTATCATACAGCGCCCCTCTGTCAGTCATCCATGGTTTATACACATCATTGGATAGCACGGACTTTCCGTCTAACCGTGCACCGTGTGTGCAAGCTACTGCGCGTGAGCATCACAACGTGTTTTGAGGAAAAAGGTCACGAACTCTGACCCTCCCTGAAGCTGCAGCAGACAGAAAAATAACATTAATTTATTAAACATCGACACACAATACGAGAAAACCGCACAATAACAGGTAAGATAACTGGATTGTGCACGAAAAGCTCACATCAAACGATGCGTTGGTCAGCTCCGTCATGTATCACAAGGAGGAAGAATACATATGCCAAGCCAGCAGCCTAACGGGAAACTGCCATTAGCTAACTGGCTAACGTAGCTAGCAGCCTTAGCTAACGGTTCCGGACCAAGACAGTGCACCAAAACCGGCAAGTAAGGAGATTATATCAAAACCACACGGATACTCGGTGTTATTTGGGACTAAACGTCATTAAATCAAACAATCGCTATTCGTGTGCCAGTTATTGGCCAAAACGTGTTCGCTATGTAGCGAGTGTTCCTGTGAATCCTGTGAACAGATGCTAAGTAGCTATTTTCGAGTTAGCGCGAATAAGGTGGTTCGATTTCCGGAACTAATGTTTGTAAGTATGAACACAACTAGTTAGCTAAATGTTGCTTTGTGACGGACTAACAATGACGTTAAGTCGTTGCAAATGTATGTTCTGTAGCTAAATGTGTGCGATCTGAGCCTTGTTGCCAAACGCTGTAGTCCCGCCGCTCGCTGCGTTCTTCTATGGGCCTTGAACCCTAATGTTCTTTAACCCTTCAATGTTGACCTTTCACCCACAGGAAAATAAATACCTTTATCTTCCGCATCGATTTTAATTAACTACTATACCAGAGCGTATTTGTTGTGCTTACAACCATGGCTATTTATGTACAACGAGCTACATTTTGTGTGATATTTCTCAACTTGGCGTAGAAGGCCAAAAATGCAGAAGCTAGCTAACGTTAACTTAGCACGCTAGGCCGTGCGACATTGCATGCACGGTGTGCGCCACAGGTAACTAGCTAGCTAACTAACGTTAGCAAGTTAACATTTCAATAATATACCAAGTTGCTCATATAACCCTGCATCTCCCAAAAGTTAGCTAGCTGCCCAGCATTTACTTTAACTCAATCCTGTTTGCTCACATAAGAAGCCACATTGTGGTCCTCTGTAGCTCAATTGGTAGAGCATGGTGCTTGTAACGCCAGGGTAGTGGGTTCGATCCCCGGGACCACCCATACGTAAAAATGTATGCACGCATGACTGTAAGTCGCTTTGGATAAAAGCGTCTGCTAAATGGCATATTATATTATTGTTATTATTATTATAAGCCATGAACTTCCTAGGTAGCTTCCTGTATTTGACTCTTTATAGCTAGGTAGATAACTAGCTGAAGTTAGGACATGGGCACCTCAACATGTTTCACTGTCACATTTTAATGTCAGGTGCACAAGTACAGTGCGATGTCCAAATGTTGCTAGAACTGGCCCATGTTCACAAACAAATGTAAGGATCACTGTATGTGTGTTGTCAGCCTTATGCAAGGCACAAAAAAAGCTTTCAATGCAGATTTTCTCACCCTTGACTCTACTGAGACCTTGCTCTGATCACAACATATTTATCATTGATTATGAATGCATACCCCTTGAGTAACTACTAACTGTGTGAAACATTCCTTCCCTCTACTGCAGTTTGATGTGCCTCATGGGGCTTTGATGTGAGCAGCAGACATCATGGACGGACACACTCAGAGAATTCAGCTGGTCTCAGCTGATGGTGGCATGATGGGACACCGTATCCAGGTAATGGAATGGACCGGGACCCTGAGACATGGCTGTAGACTCCTATGGCATCTCTTCTCCCTAGGTCAATGCTTTTATGAGTCAACATATGCATGGCTAGTAGCTTCATATGACTTCAAGGTTAGCAAATAGCAAAACGAATAGCTTCAGGGTTGGATTCCATTAGAAAGGTACGGTACAAGACACTATAAACAGAATACTGTTTATCTTCAGCATTCGACAACCCTTAACAGAGCATATTAGCTTCAGACAGTATCCTAACCAGGGGTTGGAACCGGTTCAGGGAACAGATCCGAAAACTGGAAAATAATGCACATTTTTCAAGGAACAGAAACGGAACCTGGAACGAGAGTGATCCATACTGTTCTGGAACAGAACCGTCATTTTAAAAGCATGGGAACCGGTTAATAACGTTATTTTACGTTCCAGGCATTTTTCTAGTCTCACATAAAAACGCAAAACAGAGCGCCTATGCAAAGCCCTCCCTTTGTCACTCAAAAACGTATTCCAGTATCTGGTAAGGTAAGATGTATTTTAAATTCTGGTGCCGCTCTGCACCCGCAAGCTTGTTAGCTAGCTAGTTCAAAGGACATTCCTCCATAGAAGCCGCTCCTCCTAGGTGTAATTATGTGGACCTAATTCAGATAATGTCATAACAAGATGCCCAGTATTTCAAGCCTCCTCAACCCTCTCTCGCTCTCTCCCCACCCGCAAAATGTCAGTCGCGTCTTGCGCCATAGGTTACACTTGTCTGTCCATCACGCATGTAAACAACTAGCTTGCCTGCTCTATTCGCACTGATTGGTGAAGTAATTGATTTTGGTTTCGAACTGGTTCAGAACTTTATTTAGCTGGTCAGAACAGTGGAACGGAACAAAAAAAAATAGTGTTTCTGTTCAGAATGAAAAATGTAAAAATGTATTTTGGTTCCAACCCCTGATCCTTGAACAGAGCATATTAGCTTCAGACAGTATCCTAACCCAATATTACTTGGTGGTGTTTTTATTTAATTTCTGTGATTCTCATTTGACTTGGCTCCTCCCCTTCCCTTCCAGATCGTGACGGACCAGTCGACGGGCCAGAAGATCCAGATCGTGACGGCATTGGAGCAGGGTTCTGGTGGCAAGCAGCAGTTTATCCTGGCTAACGCAGACTACTCTACGCCAGGCAAGGTAATCCTAGCCAAGCAAGAGGCCTCGTCCCCGGGCAAGGTGATCCTGGCGGCCCCGGACGGTTCAGGGGTCAACCAGCTGCTGTTTGCCTCTCCTGACCTGGCTGGCCAGCAGATCCAGGTAGAGGCCTCAGCCTGCACCACCAGTGATAGTCTAGTCCATGGAGGGCAGTTTCTACAGCCTTTGACAAGTCCCTTGTACTTGATTGATCAATTAATGTCACTGACTAGTTAGGAACTCACCTGGTTGTTTAAGTTGTAGCCCTTTACGCTCGTACCCGAATACGGGTTGAATATTGCAGATTTGGGCACTGATAAGCGCCTGAATTGGACCGCAGCGGCTGTACAATAAGATGCTATACATGACGTCAGTGCTCTGGCTCTGCGTGTTACAGCTCTGTCTGGGTTTTGTCTGACAGCCGGTCTGAACTAGAGCACCGCATGCGACAAGCAGTTCCCCCCATCCCTCCTGGTAAGGGGCAACTTTTGCACATGTGTTGTTGTCAGTGAGGGAAATGCTGTAAATTAAGAGGACTCCATGTATTTTGAAAGATGAGACATTGAGGAATATAATAAATAATATCGCTTTGATGTCATACAAGCAAGCCAAACACCCGTGAGCCCAAATGTGCACTTCACATTTCCATATTATAAAACTCATGTCATACACAGTGTCAACGTTTATGATCACTGTTTGATGTAGAGTTACAAGATGACATGGCGTCATAGAGCCCCACAGTGGAGGTGTCAGAATACCCATTAAACCTAGCGGTCAAACAGGGAAAGGATTCCAATCGTTTTTCCACCATTCATTTTTCCCATAGGGCGTTTTGGAAACACTTAAAATAAGGGCTGTGTTTTGTCTAGGCTTACCCTGGTGTGATGTTTTGATAACCATGTAAATATGTCTTGGACAAGGTGACTTTTATCAATATATTCAGCTTTATTTACTCTCAGATTTGAAAATGCTAATTAGCATCAAAATAGACATCATGCAAGACTACAAATCCCTGCAAGCTCCTGCACGTCATCTCTAGCTGACACCTTTGCTAACAGGTATTGTGTCAATTTAATACTTGCACAAGACAGTTCACAGAATTGTCAATTTAAAGAAATTTAGCCAATTTATTCATTAGTAAATTTAGCTCAAATTAGATAGTTAATCAAGAGATTCTTACCTTTGCCTCAATTTGGCAGTCTCGTCCAGATCCTCATGGCATTTGTAGTTTTTTGTGATAGCAACACTAGCTGCTAATTAGCATTTCATTTTTTGGGGGGGTAAATACCTTGATAAAAATCACCTTGTCCTAGAGAGATTTACACGGTTATCAAAACGTCACGCCAGGGTAAGCCTACACAAAACACAGCCCTTATTTTAAGTGTTTCTAAAATCTCCTATGGAAAAATGAATGGTGGAACCATTTCCTTGTTTGACCGCTAGGTTTTATGGGTATTATGAGTCATACAGAATGAGCCTATGTTTGTCTATTGTGAAGAAACATTTCCGTGGAACATGCACCTGAATGCACACATGACTCCTTTCTATGCGCACCAAAATTATCTTTCTCTGAATTGCCCTATGAAAGCCTAACACTGTAAGATTGGATTTTATAACTTAGCTAGTCATGTTGGCAATAGAACACGCTTTCAAATGATGCCCACATGACCCAGATTGGGATTTATAATGGACCGTTTTTGGATTGCGTAAACAGTCATTATGTGATGGCGGGGATGCAGGGTTGTGTTCCAAACTAAACAACTACAAGTGTGCTTGCTCTAGTTCCTTAACGCCACAACTAGGTGAGCTAAAAATAAAAAAATCTTATAGTTGAAGACTCTAATTTAAATAATAAAAGTGCATTGAAATTATGAAGGGACTGTGCACACTTTGGAGAGGTGTGTGTGTGTGTGTGTGTGTGTGTGTGTGTGTGTGGCCACTTGGAGACACCAGTTACTCATCTCCCTCAAACCCATGTCATTGTTTTTCTCTTATGTTGCACCTACCCCACATTTCCCAGGAATATTCTTATCATGTTACTGAACGTTTCCGGAGTATTTTCAGATTTCGTTATCATCAAATGCGGCGAAAAGTAGAGTAAAAGTAAAATGCACAAAATCAAACATCGGAATGTTTGGATTCAGTCCTGTCAGTTGAACAGTGTAATGTTTGGATTCAGTCCTGTCAGTTGAACAGTGTAATGTTTTGGATTCAGTCCTGTCAGTTGAACAGTGTAATGTTTGGATTCAGTCCTGTCAGTTGAACAGTGTACTGTTTGGATTCAGTCCTGTCAGTTGAACAGTGGAATGTTTGGATTCAGTCCTGTCAGTTGAACAGTGTAATGTTTGGATTCAGTCCTGTCAGTTGAACAGTGGAATGTTTGGATTCAGTCCTGTCAGTTGAACAGTGTAATGTTTGGATTCAGTCCTGTCAGTTGAACAGTGGAATGTTTGGATTCAGTCCTGTCAGTTGAACAGTGGAATGTTTGGATTCAGTCCTGTCAGTTGAACAGTGTAATGTTTGGATTCAGTCCTGTCAGTTGAACAGTGTAATGTTTGGATTCAGTCCTGTCAGTTGAACAGTGAATGTTTGGATTCAGTCCTGTCAGTTGAACAGTGTAATGTTTGGATTCAGTCCTGTCAGTTGAACAGGTGAATGTTTGGATTCAGTCCTGTCAGTTGAACAGTGTAATGTTTGGATTCAGTCCTGTCAGTTGAACAGTGTAATGTTTGGATTCAGTCCTGTCAGTTGAACAGTGTAATGTTTGGATTCAGTCCTGTCAGTTGAACAGTGGAATGTTTGGATTCAGTCCTGTCAGTTGAACAGTGTAATGTTTGGATTCAGTCCTGTCAGTTGAACAGTGGAATGTTTGGATTCAGTCCTGTCAGTTGAACAGTGTAATGTTTTGGATTCAGTCCTGTCAGTTGAACAGTGTAATGTTTGGATTCAGTCCTGTCAGTTGAACAGTGTAATGTTTGGATTCAGTCCTGTCAGTTGAACAGTGTAATGTTTGGATTCAGTCCTGTCAGTTGAACAGTGTAATGTTTTGGATTCAGTCCTGTCAGTTGAACAGTGGAATGTTTGGATTCAGTCCTGTCAGTTGAACAGTGTAATGTTTGGATTCAGTCCTGTCAGTTGAACAGTGTAATGTTTGGATTCAGTCCTGTCAGTTGAACAGTGTAATGTTTGGATTCAGTCCTGTCAGTTGAACAGTGTAATGTTTTGGATTCAGTCCTGTCAGTTGAACAGTGTAATGTTTGGATTCAGTCCTGTCAGTTGAACAGTGAATGTTTGGATTCAGTCCTGTCAGTTGAACATGTAATGTTTGGATTCGTCCGTCAGTTGAGTAGTTGATTCATCCTGTCAGTACATTAATGTTTGGATCACTGTCAGTTGCTACTTTTCTTATGCTTTTCTTATTTCTTCTGTAAGAAACATTTCAATGTAATACTAGAAGTTAAATGATACTCTAACGTTAAGAGAATGGAAGAATCAAATGCTTTTATTATTTAAATATTGAAAAAATCTTATCTACAGACATTTACATTTTTACATTTACGTCATTTAGCAGATGCTCTTATCCAGAGCGACTTACAGTAGTGAGTGCATACATTTTCATATTTGTTCGTGCTGGTCCCCCGTGGGAACCGAACCCACAACCCTGGCGTTGCAAGTGCCACACGGGCTCCGTTGGTAGACAAACATCTTCCAATTGGCTCATTCATCCTCCCCTGTAACTATTCCCCAGGTCGTTGCTGTACATTAGAATGTGTTCTCAAGTCAACTTACCTGGTAAAAGAAATAAATAAAAGCAACATAACCCAATCTGAAGTCATATGGGGCAGAGTCCTACAAGCATTAGAAACAACATTGGGTGTGGATACAGTGGGAACATGTGGGTCTGAGCATGTGTGATGTCATTCATGTTTATGTAAATGTTGTCTATTGTTTTTGTCTTTTTATGTTTTTGTTGTATAAAAAAAACAAAGAAAAAAACAAGGCCCCCCAAAAAAGTTTTGTAGAATATAAAAAAGAATGTAGCCCTATCCATATAGTCCGATACCCATGTGTAGAGAGGTTTTAATTGGACAGCAGACACTAGGCCCTCCATGGAATGAGTTTGACACCCCTGGTCTTGTCTTACTTTGTACATATTTATACTATTGCTGTTAGTCACAGGGCTGGTTCCCCTAGCGCAGATTAAAGCTACGATCTGGAATTACTTTTTCTGCAAACCTGCAGCCCCGCCATTTTGTTTTGGTATACAGCTGAGGGATCGGGTTACCCCTTTTCAAATTCATTTAGTCCAGGACTACGATTCACCTGTGTCAGGGAAACAGGCCCTAAAAGTACCTTTGACATCTGATATGAATGCCTGTTTTGCTTTTTGTGTGTTGTATTTCCAGTTTGTGACAGACGGGTCAGACCAGGCACTTGCCAAGCCCGTGGTGGAGTACTGTGTGGTGTGTGGAGACAGAGCCTCAGGTAGGAAGGAAATGCAGTTGAACTTGTACAAGCACGCACACACACCCTCTTTTTCTCCTTGTGTGACTGACCCTGTTCCCTCCCCCCCCTTCTCCTTCCCCAGGCCGTCACTACGGCGCGGTGAGCTGTGAGGGCTGTAAGGGATTCTTCAAGCGCAGCATCAGGAAGAACCTGATTTATACATGCCGGGGGTCCGGAGAGTGTGTCATCAACAAGCACCACAGGAACCGCTGCCAGTACTGCAGACTGCAGCGCTGCATGGTCCTGGGCATGAAACAGGACTGTGAGGACCTGCCCCAAATCACTTACTGACGTTCACATAGGAATATATCATGTTGAACAAACATGCTTCTCTAGCATGTAAATCAAGGAATCATGTCGCCTCTATTTGTGTCAACATCTGCAGTATTCCACAACGCCCTGAGTTGCTTATTAGACAACATGTTTGAGGGGATCCGTTTGGGCAAGGTTGAGGTGCAGAATCTTGATCACATAATGAGTAGTTATTTGGGATGGAAAGTGATTTGTAAATGAGTGATTCTGCGCAGTCTGACTGCAATGTAGTCCATCTCTGAACCAGAATGCACATTAACAGATGAAGGGTTTAACTGTGTACCCCTCCCTCCCTTCTCTCTCTGTGTAGCTGTTCAGTGTGAGAGGAAGCCGGTGGAGGTCTCTAGAGAGAAGTCAATCAACTGTGCTGCGTCTACAGAGAAGATCTACATCAGGAAGAACCTGTGTAGTCCTCTGGCTGCCATGCCCACTTTCGTCACCGACAAGGAGACAGCCAGGTACTACAAGGAGTCAGCCAGGTACTACAAGGAGTCAGCCAGGTACTACAAGGAGACAGCCAGGTACTACAAGGAGTCAGCCAGGTACTGCAAGGAGTCAGCCAGGTACTGCAAGGAGTCAGCCAGGTACTGCAAGGAGTCAGCCAGGTACTGCAAGGAGTCAGCCAGGTACTGCAAGGAGTCAGCCAGGTACTAGAAGGAGTCAGCCAGGTACTAGAAGGAGTCAGCCAGGTACTGCAAGGAGTCAGCCAGGTACTGCAAGGAGTCAGCCAGGTACTGCAAGGAGTCAGCCAGGTACTGCAAGGAGTCAGCCAGGTACTGCAAGGAGTCAGCCAGGTACTAGAAGGAGTCAGCCAGGTACTGCAAGGAGTCAGCCAGGTACTGCAAGGAGTCAGCCAGGTACTGCAAGGAGTCAGCCAGGTACTGCAAGGAGACAGCCAGGTACTAGAAGGAGACAGCCAGGTACTGCAAGGAGAGAAGCCAGGTACTACAGCTACTGCAGCTGGCTTAAGGGCCCCATTCACACTGAGCAACGCAGTATAAAATGACAGTTTGGTTGAATATAAGCGCATGAGGTCATACCAAACACGGCCTCAAAACGCACGTAGCGCATACTCCTCCATTAGCTCTGTGTGGGATGCATCGCCATTGTTTATGAGATAATTCCATCTAGGGCACAGTTTTTCAAAAGTTATTTATCTGGATTTTGCCTATCGGATAGGATTAAGTGCATAGAATGAGTAGAACGCGAGTCCCCATTCAAGTCAATGATTAGTCTGTTCTATTCATTCTATTTCTATGCATTTAATCCTATTGGCGAAATCCAGATGGATAACTTTTGAAAAACGGGGCCCAGGTCATCAGGAGGGATCAGCCAATTAATTTTAACTCGTGAGCCAACATTCCATAACTGCAGGTGGCAGTAAATGGCCAGCTTTGGCTTTATACCTGTTCATACAACACACTCCAGGTGGCAGTATGCATGCTTTGTTTATTTACCAACTCGTAGAAGTAGTAGAAGAAGAACATTGGCTACTTCAAAATGGAGATGGCCTAAATTGGCGCTGCCTGTGTGCTCACAGACAGATAAAAAGAAGAGTCCTCTATCATTCTCTATGCCAGGCAGGGCCTAAAACAAAAACATGTTTTATAACAGCCACTGTGGCAGGTAGATAACAAATCTACCAGCCACTACAATGTTTTACCTGCCAAAATATGTTTTGCCATAATTACACAAAGAAACACAAGAAAATGGATGATCATGCTTAGTAATGTTTCTAAAACAAGAAATGTATTACTAGTAAGAAGTAATGTGGTATATTGCTAGATTTAATTTAATATTCTGTGACCTGAGTGTTTTAACAAAAATATCAGACAAAAATGTTTAGCTGCCCCTTTAAGGTTACCTTGGTAACAAGGCCACTTGAGTCATGTGTACCCGTTAGAACGTCACTCATAGAGGCCAATGATGTCTGTTTTAGCTAGCAGTGGGAGCAAACTCAAACATTGAAAAGCAACCTAGCTTGTGAACAAAACAATGTAATTAGCCAAGAAAAACAAATCTTTCAGCACTCACAGTGCTCACTGCCCCCCAGACAGGCAGTGTTGCTGCGCGAGGTGGGATAGCTATAATGTTAGAATTCAGATTTCTTTGTGCTTTACCAGATATGAAACAAAATGTCAGAAATACTTTGAAAACAGCTACTGCAGCATTTATTTTGCTATAAATCACAACTCTCACTTGTACCCATAATTGACTATTTTTATTAAACGCTTGCACTGCAGAGCCCAGAGTGTTACCACGCCAACGTGGCTGGTGAATTAGACATTATTTTACCGCCAATGCCAAAATCTACCCGCGTTTGGCAGGTGGCGGATGTTAATTTTAGGCCCTGATGCAAGAGTTATTTGCAAGGGTTATTTTCTGAGCCAAAAAACAACGTTTGAAATGATTATGCTTTAGTCAAATATTATATCTGTTTGGGCTTCTTGCGGTCAATTTGCAGTGTACACATTATTTGTAATTATGTTCCGGTCCCCCGACCATCCGCTCAAGGAGAAATCGACCCGCGGCTGAATGTAGTTGGGGACCTCTGCTCTAGACCCTAACCACAGTGTAAATCGTTCATAATAGGTCTCTCCTCCCCTTCATGTGCTCTGATTTGGAAAATACTTGACAGGTGAAAACCAATCTGGTGGTAGTAGATCATGATTAGACTGGGGTTCACCTGATCAGATTGTTTCCCTTCAGATCAGTGCAGATGTGGACAGCGTAAACGGAATGAGGACCACCTGGTTTCACTAACCAACTGTAGGTCCCGTGTAGCTCAGTTGGTAGAGCATGGCGCTTGCAACGCCAGGGTTGTGGGTTCGTTTCCCACGGGGGGCCAGTATGAAAAAAAAAATGTATGCACTCACTAACTGTAAGTCGCTCTGGATATGAGTGTCTGCTAAATGACAAAAAAAAAAAAAAAAAAATTGTACAGCCATTTGAGATCTCTGTGATTGGATGGAAGAATTGAAGTGTGTTGTTTGTGTTTGCAGGTCAACCAGTTTGCTGGAGTCGAGCATGCTCCTGAACATCCAGCAGCCTTTCCCCAAGCTAGAGAACACCATCCTGGTCCCCACGTCCCCTGAATCGGTGAGTAACTGCACCACACAACAGATGGCTTGCTTTCATTTGGTAATTGCTGAGGCTGTGTTTCCCAACCCTGGTCCTCCAGTACCCCCCAACAGTACACATTTTGACAAGCACACCTGATTCAACTTGTCAACTAATCATCAAGCCCTCAATGAGTTGAATGAGGTGTGCTTGACCAGGGCTACAACAAAACTGTGTGCTGTTGGGGGTACTGGAGGACCGGGGTTGGGAAACACTGTTGGGGATACTGGAGAACCAGGGTTGGGAAACACTGTTGGGGGTACTGGAGGACCAGGGTTGGGAAACACTGTTGGGGGTACTGGAGGACCGGGGTTGGGAAACACTGTTGGAGGTACTGGAGGACCAGGGTTGGGAAACACTGTTGGGGGTACTGGAGGACCAGGGTTGGGAAACACTGTTGGGGGGTACTGGAGGACCAGGGTTGGGAAACACTGTTGGGGATACTGGAGGACCAGGGTTGGGAAACACTGTTGGGGGTACTGGAGGACCAGGGTTGGGAAACACTGTTGGGGGAACTGGAGGACCAGGGTTGGGAAACACTGTTGGGGGTGCTGGAGGACCGGGGTTGGGAAACACTGTTGGGGATACTGGAGGACCAGGGTTGGGAAACACTGTTGGGGGTACTGGAGGACCAGGGTTGGGAAACACTGTTGGGGATACTGGAGGACCAGGGTTGGGAAACACTGTTGGGGGTACTGGAGGACCAGGGTTGGGAAACACTGTGCTATGGGATGGTATATTATCAAGAAGATGTTCTTTTAAAATCTGATCTGAAAACGTGTGCAAATACCAAAGTTGCCATTGTCAATAAAGATCACGTAATTAACATTCATTAATAGATAGCTTTGTGTGCATTGTTCATTGGCATCTGTGTTATTTGCAACATTTCCGAAACAGATTCTACAGAACATTCTTTAGAATATAGCATTCTGTTGCTGATATGTCATTCTGACCTGGCTCCCTCAAGAACCTCCTACACAGTCTCTAATACAACATGTGTGATGGACAATATCCTCTGTGCCCCTCTGTAGAATGATCTGGCTTGTCAGGGCGACATTTACAACATCCAGCAATTAAATCGTAAAATCATGAAGCTGAAATGGATTAAGTAGCAATTATATCTGTCTGTAATAACCTTAGAGATCAGGAGGTGATTTAATAGATTTTTTCAGATTGATTAATAATGGTGCTTGATTGTCCCTTGTGCCCTTCCGTAGAATGACCCGTGTCAGGGCGACCTGAGCACGCTGGCCAATGTGGTGACGTCACTGGCCCACTTGAACAAGGCCCGGGAGATGAACGACGTTACCGACGGCAATGACCTGATGGGCGCGGACGACACCCTTAGCAATGGAGACAGCTCCATGACGGATCTCCAAGGAGACGAACAGACTGCCAGTGACATCACCCGGTGAGGAGAGCTTTCATACAGGATTATTTATTTTTATGATACACTTTTTTTTATAAAATGTTAATATAGCCTAAAAGGTCAATGACCCAATACAGCTATTGGACAGTAAAATGTGTAAGATCATTATGCTACATTTATTGGCTAATAGCCTTACTGATCTTTTTAACCAATAGGTGTATTGGATGTTCTGAGTGTATCAGAAGGATCTTAGGGGTTCTGTATATCATGGGGCTCAAATTGAATCTTTCGAGCCAAGGGCCATGTGGTTCTTGTGTTCCTGCCTTGGTTAATTAGATTACTCCCAGGTTTGTGATTTTCCCATCCAAGAGTAACGTTACTGTGAAGCTTGAATTTGCTTTTCTGCAGTGTATGTCTTCATCACTTTCTGCTGAACCTCAGCTTTTCAAAATGAAAGCCATGACCATAGAATTAGAATACTAGAATGGACATGAACCTTCTTATGATGGGATAAAGGTCAGCCATGTTGGTCAGGGAGTTGGTCAACCATGGTTTGCCAGTGCTGTGATAAGATATTTTGTAAAACAACGAATGTGAATAATTTATCTGCACTGTATGTTTGTTAGCTAGCAAGCCAGACAGTTTTAGAGGAATGATCCCATCAATTTTTCAAATTAACTGCCAATATGCCAACATTACATTCAAACAATGCAGTCAATCCACAGCCATACACTGTCTCAAATCAGTTGATGATAGGACTTAGACAAGTTGTAAATGCAACAAGTAATGATATTGTATCATATAATAGCACTCTCAGCATTCCAAGAAAACAAAATCTGAGACATTTGTGGTCTGTTTACATATATTTTAGAGGCTATTATATAAAACCTGTATAAACTATATTTATAATTTATTGACAATATTTTAGGTTGACTATAATTCCATTACACCATTTCTAATACCTCACATACCTGTGTTTTATTTTCCTGCATAAGTGAAAGCAGGAAATGCATCACCTATGCCTCTACTGACATACATTCTAATTAGACTGGTTTTGGATTTCTCCCTGAACAAGATGGCTGCCATTTTGGTCCCATTATGGAACTTTTGGGTTTATGACATAGCCCATCTAGTAATTTTAATAGAATCTCTATGGCCATGACAATCAAAGCTCATATTCATTATCTCCAGCACCAAACCAGTGTCTATGTGTGTATATATATATATATATGTATATATGTGTGTGTGTGTGAAAACAGCGTGTTTCTATGATTTGTGGTTAAGAAGAAAGGTCATAAAAAATGATTCTCTGTGACATCACAGCATAGGATGAAGTTGATTTTTTTAAAACTCAAAACCTGCCATGAGTTTTAACCAGAGGGAGGGTATTTTCTTGCTCCCCACATCACCGCAAATCTCATAGTGTTTGAAAATCACTTTAAAAAAATGTTTTAACTCATTGGGTAGAACCTTTTTAACTTTTAATATTTTTTTCCTACAAAATGTAGAAATGCGCAGTTTTCACAGATGTAGACGCTGGTATTGTTCTGGAGATAATGAACGCAAGGTTGGAAAGTGGTGGAATTGGCCTTTAAAGGTTCCTAGTTTGTTGACTTGCTGGAGTGTGCGTGTGTGTGTGCATGCTTAATTAGGTTGCGCAAGACTCGCTGGTTTGAGATTTGCCATCGTAGTAACCTTACTGTCAAGCTTGTTTTCTCTTAGGCACTGTTTCTTCATCACTTGGAACAGCAGAATGATAAGATATGTTCTTTTATCCATTCATCTCATCTTCATCTCTCTCTCCTCACCTCCTTCTCAAAATGTATTGAAGAAGAACGTCTGAGGGGAGGGAACGGTTGGGAAGTAGGCGAGGAGATGGGTTTGGACCAATCATGTTCCCGGAAAAGACTATATGAGATGGTGGAGCCCTCTTAGGGATTAAGGATCCTAGTTCGTGAACTGACCTGTCCATTATGTCTGCCCCACCTCCCCAGAGCTTTTGACACACTGGCCAAGGCAATGAACCCTGGGGACGGCTCAGCAGGAGACTCTCTGGAGGCCACCATGCAGCTGATGTCAGGAGACCAGTCTGGCCCGGTGGTGGAGCTGCAGGGGCCTCTACTCTCAGACAGCCACGTCCCCTTCAAGGTGAGGGTCTTGGGCCATCGCCCGTAACACCCGGATTGCATCCCAAATGGCACCCTATTCCCTATATAGTGCACTACTTTTGACCAGAGCCCAATTGGCCCGGGTCAAAAGTAGTGCACTGTAAAGGGAATAGAGCCAGTTGGGACACAGCCCCTCTCAAAGGGACAGGGGCTTACCCATAACACCTGATTGAAAGTTCATTATCTTGAAGAAAGGTAGACTTATTCTCAGTGTGTCATAAAAAGAGTGATTCAAGAGGGACTAAGCCAGGATTAATAAAGTAATCACCTTTCAGACTTGTCTCTAATGATATCTAGGCCCATTTGTTCTCCCTCAAGTCATGACGTCTCTCTCTCTCACTCAACCTCTTGTTTAACATGTTTGGAATGGTTGGAGTAGTGATAGGATAATGGTGTTTATAAACTGCTCAAATCTCACTCTCTCTCTCTCTTTCTCTCTCTCTGTCTCTCTTTCTCTCTCTCTCTTTTTCTCGCTCTCGCTCTCTCTCTCTCTTTTTCTCTCGCTCTCTCTCTCTTTTTCTCTCTCTCTCTTTTTCTCTTTCTCTCTCTCTAGCTGATGATGCCTTTGCCCATGCCTGAGTACCTCAATGTGAACTACATCTGTGAGTCAGCCTCGCGGCTCCTCTTCCTGTCCATGCACTGGGCACGCTCCATACCTGCCTTCCAAGCCTTGGGGTGAGTACCTAGCTACATGCGTACCGCTGTGTTTCTATAAGTCTACATTCAGGTATCTAATGTATTTGTAAGCTGGCCTGTATATCCTGCCTACTGACCAAAGCCAGTGAACCAAAATGCAGATACATTATATAATATGTTATCCTGAATGATTTTAAAATAGTGTATCCACTGGGATTGTATCAATTCCATTAAATTATCAAATAAAATGCTAAATCATACATTATCATATTAAATATATATTTATTTATCTAATAAATCCTCTTTATTTCTCTCTCCCAGTGGTCAGGATAACGACATTAACCTGATGAAGGCGTGTTGGAACGAGCTGTTTGCTCTGGGTCTGGCTCAGTGCTCCAATGTCATGAATGTTGCCACCATCCTGGCTGCCATCATCAACCACCTTCAGACCAGCCTACAAGATGGTACAGGAGGTGATGGTAAAAATGAAAACATATTAATCACAATAATTGGCAGCAGATGCTTTTAGGTCCTCGGTGGGGTGGGATTGGGATTGGGGGGAGGACGGGGGGGGTTGTAACTTCATTTTGTATTTATGTTTGCTGACGATTATTATCGCTAAATAAAAGATGAATCGCAACAACAACAACAAAAAAAAGTGTCTACAAAGCGGCATGTATTCTCATATTTAATGAACTCTCATCTTGGTCCCTACAGAGAAGCTGTCCCCAGAGAGAGTGAAGCTGGTGATGGAACACATCTGGAGGATGCAGGAGTTCTGTAACAGCATGGCCAAGCTGTCCCCTGACTCCTATGAATATGCCTACCTCAAAGCCATCATCCTCTTCAGCCCTGGTGAGTAGGGGACGGGAGTGGCAGGTAGCTTAGTGGGTAAGAGCGTTGTGCCAGTAACCGAAAGGTCGCTGGTTCTAATCCCCGAGCCGACTAGGTGAAAAATCTGTCGACGTGCCCTTTAAGCAAGGCACTTAACCCCTAATTGCTCCTGTAAGTCGCTCTGGATAAGAGCGTCTGCTAAATGACTAAAATGTAAATGTGAGTGGGGGAGAAGATTTTGAGGTTCATTATGGGTTATTTTCATGAAAGAATGATGCAACTCACTGATATCATTGGCCACGTTCCAGAGCGTCTGCAAAACGCCCGTGCACCAAATCATCTCACACCGCCCACCCGGGCTTGGCGAAGTGTTTAACATGTCAGTAACCGCATCAATATGATACAGTGCGACTGCTTTTAAAGATTGTCTGGAACGCGACCATTGGTCTAAACATGCACACGGTGACACTTATGCAGTAACATGACGACTTGTTCTGTGGATCAAAAAAGTATGCGTCCCTGCAGCATATTAAGGTGACCAGTCTCGCGGCGGTGCGGTTCTGGTGTGGTTGTGTATGTGGCCAGCTGGGAGGTTCTGGATGGTTTTAAAGGACCGCTGAGACAACATGCGGACTGGGTAGATTTCTATCACACTCCGAGAAAGATGAGTCAAGATGACCATGACTGTTGGCTGCTTCCTCTTGCGCTGGTGTCTGATGGAAAAACTAAAGAAAAGGTGCCTCTGTACTTTCACACCTTCTTAGTGTAGCTGGGTGCTGTCAGCAAGGAGGGAGAGCGAGAAGAGAAGGAAACGGGGTGCATTCATTTTTTACAGTTCTGTAACCTAGGAGTATGCCTACCTCCAAGCCATAGTTCTCTTCAGTACTGGTTGGGGGATTGGGGTAATTTTTAAGTTTCATTATGTGTAAATGATGGGGAAGTGCTGATGGAAGAGAAAAGGAAGGATGTCGATGTGTGATGTGACGTACAGTGCCTTGCAAAAGTATTCATCCCCCTTGGCGTTTGTCCTATTTTGTTGCATTACAACCTGTAATTTAAATATACTTTTATTTGGATTTCATGTAATGGACATACACAAAATAGTCCAAATTGGTGAAGTGAAATGAAAAAAATAACTTGTTTCAAAAAATTCAAATAAATAAATAACGGAAAAGTGGTGCGTGCATATTTATTCACCCCCTTTGCTATGAAGCCCCTAAATAAGATCTGGTGCAACCAATTACCTTCAGAAGTCACATAATTAGTTATTTAACATTTACATTTACATTTTAGTCATTTAGCAGACGCTCTTAACCAGAGCGACTTACAGGAGCAATTAGGGTTAAGTGCCTTGCTCAAGGGCACATTAACGTCATTTAGCAGACGCTCTTAGCCAGAGCGACTCACAAATTGGTGCGTTCACCCTATAGCCAGTGGGATAACCACTTTACAATTTGGGGGGGGGGGGGGGGGGGGGTTAGAAGGAATACTTTAGCCTATCCCAGGTATTCCTTAAAGAGGTGGGGTTTCAAATGTCTCCGGAAGGTGGTGAGTGACTCCGCTGTCCTGGCGTCGTGAGGGAGCTTGTTCCACCATTGGGGTGCCAGAGCAGCGAACAGTTTTGACTGGGCTGAGGGGGAGCTGTGCTTCCGCAGAGGAAGGGGAGCCAGCAGGCCAGAGGTGGATGAACGCAATGTCCTCGTTTGGGTGTAGGGACTGATCAGAGCCTGAAGGTACAGGGGTGCCGTTCCCCTCACTGCTCCAAAGGCAAGCACCATGGTCTTGTAGCGGATGCGAGCTTCAATTGGAAGCCAGTGGAGTGTGCGGAGGAGGGGGGTGACGTGAGAGAACTTGGGAAGGTTGAACACCAGACGGGCTGCGGCATTCTGGATGAGTTGTAGGGGTTTAATGGCACAGGCAGGGAGCCCAGCCAACAGCGAGTTGCAGTAGTCCAGACGGGAGATGACAAGTGCCTGGACCAGGACCTGCGCCGCTTCCTGTGTAAGGCAGGGTCGCACTCTCCGAATGTTGTAGAGCATGAACCTGCAGGAGCGGGTCACCGCCTTGATGTTGGCGGAGAACGACAGGGTGTTGTCCAGGGTCACGCCTAGGCTCTTCGCACTCTGGGAGGAGGACACAGCGGAGTTGTCTACCGTGATGGCGAGATCATGGAACGGGCAGTCCTTCCCGGGGAGGAAGAGCAGCTCCGTCTTGCCAGGGTTCAGCTTGAGGTGGTGATCCGTCATCCATACTGATATGTCTGCCAGACATGCAGAGATGCGATTCGCCACCTGGTGATCAGAAGGGGGAAAGGAGAAGATTAGTTGTGTATCGTCAGCGTAGCAATGATAGGAAAGGCCATGTGAGGATATGACAGAGCCAAGTGACTTGTGTCACATGATTTAAGTGTCACATGATCTCAGTGTATATATACACCTGTTTTGAAAGGCCCCAGAGTCTGCAACACCACTAAGCAAGGGGCACCACCAAGCAAGCGGCACCATGAAGACCAAGGAGTTCTCCAAACAGGTCAGGGACAAAGTTGTGGAGAAGTACAGATCAGGGTTGGGTTATAAAAATATATCCGAAACTTTTAGCATCCGACAGAGCAGCATTAAATCCATTATTAAAAAATGGAAAGAATATGGCACCACAACAAACCTGCCAAGAGAGCACCCACCAAAACTCACGGACCAGGCAAGGAGGGCATTAATCCGAGAGGCAACAAAGACACCAAAGATAACCCTGAAGGAGCTGCAAAGCTCCACAGCAGAGATTGGAGTATCTGTCCATAGGACCACTTTAAGCCGTACACTCCACAGTGCTGGGCTTTACGGAAGAGTGGCCAGAAAAAAGCCATTGCTTAAAGAAAAAACACGTTTGGTGTTTGCCAAAAGCCATGTGTGAGTATGGTATGACTGAAAGATTGCTGTTCACCAGCGGAACCCATCCAACTTGTAGGAGCTGGAGCAGTTTTGCCTTGAAGAATGGGCAAAAATCCCAGTGGCTAGAGAGAATACCCCAAGAGAATTGCAGCTGCAAAAGGTGGCTCTACAAAGTATTGACTTTGGGGGGGTGAATGGTTATGCATGCTCAAGTTTTCTGTTTTTTAGTCTTAGTGTAGCCAGGTGCTGCTCTTCAGACAAAAGTTCCCAGATTGTCAGCAAACTATTTAAACAAAGGAAAGTACGCTCAGGTCTCCGAACCGGAACACGGTCCCTATAGGTTAGCTGTGTACATAAAGGGAGAGTTCTTATGAATACAATAGAGTTGCACCCTTTCCTTTTGTTGAATTTAATTGTTCTGTGTGTCTTTGCCAAGAAATGTTTGATATGAAAACGCCCACTGATAAATATAATAGACAACTAATAATGGACGTCAACTATATTGGAAGAGAACTATAATGGACGTCAACTATATTGGACGAGAACTATAATGGACGTCAACTATAATGGACAAGAACTATAATGGACGAGAACTATAATGGACGTCAACTATAATGGACGAGAACTATAATGGACGTCAACTATAATGGACGTCAACTATAATGGACGAGAACTATAATGGACGTCAACTATAATGGACGTCAACTATAATGGACAACTATAATAGCGGAGAAATGGAAACACGCACACAGTCAGGGACAGGTGTTTGGTAACTGATTCTGTGTGTCTCTTTGCTGTAGACCACATTTCCTTTTGTTTAACGGACGTGTGTGTGTGTGTGTGTGTGTGTGTGTGTGTGTGTGTGTGTGTAGACCACCCAGGTATAGACAACACCCTACAGATCCAGCGTTTCCAGGAGAAGGCCTACATGGAGTTACAGGACTATGTAACTCGGACCTACCCTGAAGACTCGTATCGGTCAGTAACATCTCGTTATGCATGACTACATCTTAATATAACATCTCATTATGCATCACTATATCTCAATAAAACATCTCATTATGCATCACTACATCTCATTATGCATAACTACATCTCATTATAACATCTCATTATGCATCACTACATCTCATTATGCATCACTACATCTCATTATGCATCACTACATCTCATTATAGCATCACTACATATCATTATGCATCACTACATCGCACTATAACATCTCATAATGCATCACTACATCTCATTATAACATCTCATTATGCATCACTACATCTCATAATGCATCACTACATCTCATTATGCATCACTACATCTCACTAGATCATCTCATTATGCATCACTACATCTCTCTGTATCGCGCTCTCTCGCTCTGTATCGCTTCTCTGTGTCGCTCTCTGTGTATCGCTCGCTCTCTCTTTCTCTCTATCGCTCTCCTAATCGCGCTCTCTCTCTCTGTGTATCGCTCTCTGTGTATCGCTCTCTCTCTCTGTGTATCGCTCTCTCTTCCTGTCTCACATTTCCACTATTTTCCATCTCTTCTCAATGAAATTGTCAAATTCAAATGCTTTATTGGCATGTAATTTACAAGGATATATTGTCCATTCATAACAGCCCTCCCTCCCTCCCTCTTTCCCCTCAGGTTATCCAAGCTGCTGCTGCGTCTCCCTGCCCTGCGGCTGATGAGTGCAGCGGTGACAGAGGAGCTGTTCTTCACTGGCCTCATCGGCAACGTGCAGATAGACAGCATCATCCCTTACATCCTCAAGATGGAGTCCACCGACTACAACAGCCAGGTGGCCACTGGCGTCTGACCTCTGACCTTACCCCACTCCGACCCTGGTCACCACGGCAGCCACCATCATCACAAGGTCAACATGGAAACATCACCTGCAGGCCATTTTAGGCAAACGGCCATGGAAACGTTAACATTCTTAGGGGGGGGTAAAACTGCAGGGGCGTGTTCATTAGGGCACACTGTTAGCAAAACGTTTTGCAACAGACAATGAAAAATAGCATTTATTTTATTGGACAAGTTCAGGCAGTACCTCCCTGTTTTTTTTGTTGTTGCTCTGTTTCTGACATTTTTCTTTCCGTTTGGTGCCAACTGAACAGGACCCAGTTTGGTTGCATTGTGACCACCTCCCCTCAACAGAATCTGAAGGTTTTCTCAATGGAATCTGATGACGACTTCTTCAGTGCTGAAACAATCCTCCTCTTTGTCTCCCCTGAATATACCATAGCTCAGAAGACAATTTAGTCCACACACCCAGAGGTTACAGCTGGCTTGCCTACCGTTGTCCATTCACGAAATGAACTTTGAATCAGTCAAGCATCCTAGATTGTGCTTTTTTTTATTAATGTGTACAGCATTATTTTATTCTTATCTTTTCTTCAATCCTTTCATTTTGTGATCCTGATTTTGTTTGTATTTTGATGAATGAACGGACAGAGGAGCCGTTTGCTTTTTTCAACAGCCCCCTCATCTGCTTTCAACTTGCGCTTTTTTTTATTTAGTAAAGATTTGAGAAACTTTCACAATCTGAATTGGTTTGTCATGATGATGATGATGATGATATTTGGTCAGTGTATTAAGGTTCTAACCTTTTTAGATGGTATAGGATGTTTGCCAGTCCGAAGAAACAGGCTTGCATCATGAGTCGACTCTTCTAGAACATGGAACATATGGAATATGCAACATGTGGAACTCATAGAATCATGTATGTGTATATATAAATATGTATATAGAAAGAAGTGAAGAAAAAGCTATCGTAGACAATAGCTTGTTATTACAAGAATTCCAGCTTTTGGACATGTAAATGTAGTTGCTAAAACAATTGTGAAGTCATTTGAAAATAAAATTACAACTTTCAATGGTCAATCAATCACATTTATTTTAGAATCAATCCATAAATAAATTGCACCTTTCAATTAGGTGTTGACTTTTATGATTACTACATTTGGGAATGGTATTATGGCGTCACTTGAGCGATGCAAGATACAGTATATAGAAAAGTATGTGGACACCCCTTCAGATTAGTGGATTCGGCTATTTCAGGCACACCCGTTGCTGACAGGTGTATAAAATCGAGCACACCGCCATGCAATCTCCATAGACAAACATTGGCAGTAGAATCGACTTACTGAAGAGTTCAGTGACTTTCAACGTGGCACCGTCATAGTATGCCACCTTTCCAACAAGTCAGTTCGTCACATTTCTGCCCTGCTAGAGCTGCCCCGGTCAACTGTAAGTGCTGTTATTGTGAAGTGGAAACGTCTAGGAGCAACAACAGCTCAGCCGCAAAGTGGTAGGCCACACAAGCTCACAGAACGGGACCGCCGAGTGCTGAAGCGTGTAGCGTGTAAAAATCGTCTGTCCTCGGTTGCAACACTTACTACCAAGTTCCAAACTGCCTCTGGGAGCAACGTCAGCACAAGAACTGTTAGTCGGGAGCTTCGTGAAATGGGTTTCCATGGCCGAGCAGCCGCACACAAGCATAAGATCACCATGAGCAATGCCAAGCGTCAGTTGGAGTGGAATAAAGCTCACCGCCATTGGACTCTGGAGCAGTGGAAACGCGTTCGCTGGAGTGATGAATCACGCTTCACCATCTGGCAGTATGATTGACGAATCTGGGTTTGGCAGATGCCAGGAGAACACTACCTGCCCGAATTCATAGTGCCAACTGTAAAGTTTGGTGGAGGAGGAATAATGATCTGGGGCAGTTTTTCATGGTTCGGGCTAGGCCCCTTATTTCCAGTGAAGGGAAATCAACGTTACAGCATACAATGACATTCTGGACGATTCTGTGCTTCCAACTTTGTGGCAACAGTTTGGGGAAGGCCCTTTCCTGTTTCAGCATGACAATGCTCCCGTGCACAAAGCGAGGTCCATACAGAAATGGTTTGTCAAGATCAGTGTGGAAGAACTTGACTGGCCTGCACAGAGCCCTGACCTCAACCCCATCGAACACCTTTGGGATAAATTGGAACGCCGACTTTGAGCCAGGCCTAATCGCCCAACATCAGTGTCCGACCTGACTAATGATCTTGTGGCTGAATGGAAGCAAGTCCCCACAGCAATGTTCCAACATCTAGTGGAAAGCCTTCCCAGAAGTGTGGAGGCTGTTATAGCAGCAAATGGTGGACCAACTCCATATTAATGGTGCAGATGCAAAGTTTGGTAACAGAATGACAGTTTGCTCTGTTTTTGCCGTCATTCTGTTACCAAACTTTGCATCTGCACAGTTTTTCAAGTAAATGTGTTTTTGTGAACATTTTTCAGTGGAAATTCTTAAGTCATCCTTGTGCATGGAGATGGTTTGTTTAACTTTGCAATCATTGTTTTTTGTTTGACATACATTTTGTTAAATGAAAAATCTGAGTCTGCGTCATTCTGTTGCCGTGGAATTGTCCTGATATTGATCTGTAGATGAGGTGAATTGGAGGTAAACGCATGCTCTCAGCTAAATGGTTACATCATCAAGTGTCCCATTAGCCTGTCCAACCCATACACCTGCTTGCATTCTGAGAGGCTATAAGGTTATGGCTAAGAGATCTGTCGATAAGCAGCTTTATATAGGCTATATATAGCAGCTAAAAGACTCCAGCTCAAAGGCTATAAGCATTTAAATTGTAATAGAATTTGACAGAAGTGATATTGTTTAATTTCGTACAGTTTTAGTAGGTGATACACGGAATGAGAATTGCAATTTCTATTGATCATGCTGCTGGACTAATGTTGCGTACCCACTGTTTCGATAAATTGGGAAGGTCACCCAATCTGCATCAATGTTCTCTCATCACAGTACAGTTGAAAGATATATGGCGAATAGAAATCCAATATGGATGGTGTTGAGAGATAGATGGGAGGTTTTGAATGGAGTTGAAGGATGGGACTAATAAAAACTAACAAAAACGAATAACAACAAGATAACTAATGTAAAGCATACTGTGTCCATAATAAGTATATAGGTTGAGAGCTTTTGTGAAAGAGCACAGTTAGAAAGATATGGCATATAGAAGCAAACCGGATGGACGTCATGAAAATGATCGGAGAGGTTCAGGAAGTTCATGAGTAAAAACAAACAAAACATAATTATTGTAAAATTGACTGTGTCCATAAAATGTATATAGTATGTATAAGCTGGAAGTAGAGGCCTAAGCATTGTTCACTACTACTACTCGAGAGCATCTGGTCAGAGGGGTGGTGGTACAGGAATCCTCATCTCTCCCAAGTGGACATTCTCAATTTTTCCCCTAACCCATCTGTCTATCTCCTCATTTGAATTCCATGCTGTCACAGTCACTAGCCCATTTAAGCTTAATATCCTTGTCATCTATCGCCCTCCAGGTTCCCTTGGAGAGTTCATCAATGAGCTTGACGCCTTGATAAGTTCCTTCCCTGAGGATGGCTCACCCCTCACAGTTTTGGGGGATTTCAACCTCCCTATGTCCACATTTGACTCATTTCTCTCTGCCTCCTTCTTTCCACTCCTCTCCTCTTTTGACCTCACCCTCTCACCGTCCCCCCCTACTCACAAGGCAGGCAATACGCTTGACCTCATCTTCACTAGATGCTGCTCCTCTACTAATCTCACTGCAACTCCCCTCCAAGTCTCCGACCACTACTTTGTTTCCTTTTCTCTCTCACTCTCCTCCCACACTACTCACTCCGCCCCTACACAGATGGTAATGCGCCGCCGCAACCTTCGCTCTCTCTCTCCCACTACTCTCTCCTCTTCCATCCTATCATCTCTTCCCTCTGCTCAATCCTTCTCCCTCCAATCTCCTGATTCTGCCTCCTCAACCCTCCTCTCCTCCCTTTCTGCATCCTTTGACTCTCTGTGTCCCCTATCCTCACGGCCGGCTCGGTCCTCCCCTCCAGCTCCGTGGCTTGATGACTCATTGCGAGCTCACAGAACAGAGCTCCGGGCAGCGGAGCGGAAATGGAAGAAAACTAAATTCCCTGCCGACCTGGCATCTTTTCACTCCCTCCTCTCTACATTTTCTTCATCTGTTTCTGCTGCTAAGGCCACCTTCTACCACTCTAAATTCCAAGCATCTGCCTCTAACCCTAGGAAGCTCTTTGCCACATTTTCCTCCCTCCTGAATCCTCCCCCCCCCCCTCCCCCCCTCCTCTCTCTCTGTGGATGACTTCGTCAACCACTTTGAAAAGAAGGTTGACGACATCCGATCCTTGTTTGTTAAGCCTAATGACACTGCTGGTCCTGCTCACACTGCCCTACCCTATGCTTTGACTTCTTTCTCCCCTCTCTCTCCAGATAAGATCCTGCGACTTGTGACTGCAGGCCGCCCAACAACCTGCCCGCTTGACCCCATCCCCTCCTCCCTTCTCCAGACCATCTCCGGTGACCTTCTCCCCTACCTCACCTCGCTGATCAACTCATCCTTGACCGCTGGCCATGTCCCTTCCGTCTTCAAGAGAGCGAGAGTTACTCCCCTTCTCAAAAAACCAACACTCGACCCCACTGATGTCAACAACTACAGACCAGTATCCCTTCTTTCTTTTCTTTCCAAAACTATTGAGCGTGCCGTCTTTAGCCAACTCTCTTGCTATCTCTCTCAGAATGACCTTCTTGATCCAAACCAATCAGGTTTCAGGACTGGTCATTCAACTGAGACTGCTCTTCTCTGTGTCACAGAGACTCTCCGCACTGCTAAAGCTAACTCTCTCTCCTCTGCTCTTGTCCTTCTAGATCTGTCTGCTGCCTTTGATACTGTGAACCATCAGATCCTCCTCTCCACCCTCTCCGAAATGGGCATCTCCGGCGCGGCTCACTCCTGGATTGCGTCCTACCTGACCGGTCGCTCCTACCAAGTGGCGTGGCGGGAAGCTGTCTCCGCACCACGTGCTCTCACCACTGGTGTCCCCCAGGGATCGGTTTTGGGCCCTCTCCTTTTCTCCCTATACACCAAGTCACTTGGCTCTGTCATATCCTCACATGGCCTTTCCTATCATTGCTACGCTGACGATACACAACTAATCTTCTCCTTTCCCCCTTCTGATCACCAGGTGGCGAATCGCATCTCTGCATGTCTGGCAGACATATCAGTATGGATGACGGATCACCACCTCAAGCTGAACCCTGGCAAGACGGAGCTGCTCTTCCTCCCCGGGAAGGACTGCCCGTTCCATGATCTCGCCATCACGGTAGACAACTCCGCTGTGTCCTCCTCCCAGAGTGCGAAGAGCCTAGGCGTGACCCTGGACAACACCCTGTCGTTCTCCGCCAACATCAAGGCGGTGACCCGCTCCTGCAGGTTCATGCTCTACAACATTCGGAGAGTGCGACCCTGCCTTACACAGGAAGCGGCGCAGGTCCTGGTCCAGGCACTTGTCATCTCCCGTCTGGACTACTGCAACTCGCTGTTGGCTGGGCTCCCTGCCTGTGCCATTAAACCCCTACAACTCATCCAGAATGCCGCAGCCCGTCTGGTGTTCAACCTTCCCAAGTTCTCTCACGTCACCCCCCCTCCTCCGCACACTCCACTGGCTTCCAATTGAAGCTCGCATCCGCTACAAGACCATGGTGTTTGCCTTTGGAGCAGTGAGGGGAACGGCACCCCTGTACCTTCAGGCTCTGATCAGTCCCTACACCCAAACGAGGACATTGCGTTCATCCACCTCTGGCCTGCTGGCTCCCCTTCCTCTGCGGAAGCACAGCTCCCCCTCAGCCCAGTCAAAACTGTTCGCT